CACTTTTGATGGGTACTGACCTCTGCAGGTCGGGAACACCCCACAGGAGCTGCAGTTCTGGAGATGCTCTGACCCAGTCATCCATCACAATGTGGCTCCTTGTTAAAGTCACTCAAATCCTCACGCTGCCCATTTTTCCTGCTTCTAACACATCAACTCTGAGGACAAAAGGTTCACTTGCTGCCTGATATATCCCCCCCCCACTGACAGGAGCCCTGATAAGCAGTGCTCAGAATGTTATGGCTGATCGGTATACACTGATAATATATTTCCTTGATTCCTTGATTGATTCCTTCAGATAAAATGTCAACTTTGCTGCTCAATGTGTAAATAAGCAACTGTTTACTTTACTTTTAGTTCCCTTATCAATTTACAGTAAAAGGTGATCATATGTCAGGGTTGTGTTTACAGCTTCTTCTGCTGGACCAAAAGCCAAAATCAATGAATGCAACTTTTTAGTTAATTTGTTGTTACCCTGGAAAAAACTGTAGAAAGACACAGTGGCTGTTCTGATCAGATTTTTCCAAAACGATCCTTTCAGATCCACCTACAATGGCTAATTTTAATATCTGTGAATGGGGCAGAAGAAAGCCACTTCCTGGTTTGAATGAATGCTTAATAAGATGCTTTCCAGACTTCCTTTGAGTCTTGAATGGAAAACTGGGCTCACAGGACACAGGCCTCTAGTTTGATGGTGTTATTGTTGAATATTATCAGCAGAATTCACACTGATGGCATCAGCAAAGCCAGCAATAACAGATGATGAGCTGTGGCAAATTAGAAACAATAATACGCGCGTGTGTGGTCCATTTACCACTTATATATCTCACCCTTCATCTGAGCGGCGGCTAATGTTACTACAGCACGATGGAGTTCTGACCTTCAGGTGTGTGAGGATGTTTGCGTCCATACGGGGAGAACAGCATGGAATCGCAGCCCTTTCTACCCTCTGGTGGTTTGAACTCAGACGGATTGGATACGGATCTAAACAACTAGACTGACTAAATGTGTGATGCAAAAAGGATGCAACTGATCAACGTGCCTAAGCTGAATGTCACACAAATATTTCTGTACAGCACAGAGGAGCGTTTCCCATCGCAACTCCAGCTATTTATGAACACAATGGGCAACTTTTTAAAAATTATTTTTATATTTTGTGCTTTTAAAGTCTTATTTGGTGAATTGCTGATGCCTTTTAGATAGTGTCATTCACCATAATTCATAAAATGGACAAAAGTAAATGTTATTATGATCTTCTGGATGAAAAGAGGTCCAAACATAATCAGTTAAGTCACCAAACAGCTCCAACTTTACCAGCTGCTGAGAAAGTTTCACGTGTGAGGACACGACCAGAACAGGGCGCAGATAACATCAGGCGTTTTAAAAAAAAAACCTTCCTGGAAAATGTCAGAACCCTGTGTGACCCTCTGTAACTTATTTTACTGGCAGATTTCACTTTCACTGTAACATACGAGTCCTTAAACAGAAGGAATATTGATCAGCATCTGCAGGACAGATATTAAAGAGACGTTGTGTGAATATTGTTGTATGTCTGCGAAAAAAAAAAAGAAAGTGGATTCAATTTAACTCTTCAAACACTAAATATTGGTCTGGGATATTCTCAATAGTATATATATATAATATATACATAATAAATAGGATAATGCAGGACACTGAGATGAAGGACAAACAACAAACCACAGAACAGCACAATCTGCCTTTTTTGCCTCTGGTACTGATGTCCACATTGTTCTTACTCATGTCTTTTGGTCTTGTAGCATTCTCATGTTACATGCTTTTTGATAAATGCATCAAAAATCTAAATCAATACGTAGCCTATGTGAACAGAAGAACAAAAGGGCTGCGTGTGGTGACACATTGTCTAGTTAGTAACTAATAATGAAGATGATTTCGGCTTCTATTTTGCCTTTTTCTCTGAAGCCAGACATCGATTTTGGTTTGGAAATGTTTTTTTGAACTTATGCCAAAACTAAATGCTGTGTCATTTTGTCCGCTCATAGCCAAGAATAAGAAGAAAAAAAGAAAAGATATAAAGAGATGATCTCATTTGTCTGGATATGCCCTGACTTGAATGCAGATTCAGAAAAAGGACATTCATAAAATCACAAATGTAGAAGCTCTTAAACGCAGGAAAAGGGAGTGGGAACATACATTTATCATTAAATTAGTTTAGCTGATGTGTGACTCAATGAATAAATGGGATAAAATAACTGTAATTATTCCTTCACATTTGAATAATTGCTCATTTTGTTTTATCAGATTGAATTGCTGCATCAGTGGAAAATAACCGTATGCCGCACTGGTGAGCAGAGATTGAGAATATGCCTAAAATATCTGCCCTGATACCTGATAATACTATTTTATCACCCTGCCGGGGTAGACACACCCCATCCGGAGCTACTACTGGAAGTATGATTCGGAAATACTGCTGCACTCCATGTTTTCATCCTTCCTTTGCTGTTCCTTTTTAGTTATTTAGCACACAACTGTAAAATATTATAGAAGAAGGAACAGACGAGGCAACACAAGCTACCTGATACCTGCGCTGCCTGTCACACCATAATGCTGGCTTGCACTTCTGCGGTATTGATCTGAGTGCTCGTCCCAACATGGCTAATGCACTGCTAGCTTCACTCTCAGGTCCAAACATCACTTAGCACTGGCGATGAGACGCAGGAGAACCCACAGATGGGATGAGTGGAGCACTGATTTGTTCAGAGTTGTGGGATGTTGGCCAGCAGGCAGGTAAAAATGTCCTAATGGATTTTCTAATAAAACCTGATGCTGACAGAAGGGCTGTGTGCAGAAAAAATGTGACGGATGTCGTCCTGCAAACCGCCACCTGGGGTAAATACACGGTCAACATTAGATAACCTCCTCCTGAGGGAGTTACGGCTCCTCTTTGGTCAGCAGCCCAGTCTTAATTGCCCAGTTTTAAAAAGCTCTTAACCCGTGTCTTCTCCTTCACGTCCGTCTGGCCTCCGTGACATTACTGGTGTAATGGCTGAACCACTAAGGGATCCCTGCTTTCACTTGCAGCCACATGTTCAGTCTGTTTCAGGGAAAGGATGGGGAATGGGGGAAAATGCCACAATAATATGATTTCCTAGAGCCCAAGGTGATTTCTTGTCTTCAAATGGTTTGTTTTTCCCAGACCTACAGTCCCAAACCACACAGCCACAACTGAGCATCTGGAACTATGTAATGTTTAGCATTTGTGCCTGAAAACGTACATAAAAGATTATTCAAGTATCAAACAGGGCTGCAGATAATGATCATTTTTGATTTCAGTTAGTTGTGTGGTTGTGTGATTCATCCAAATGTCAGAAAATGGTGCAAAATGCTGATCAATGTTTCCCAAAACCCAAAGTGATGTCATCAAATGTCCTTAACTCAAATATACTCAGTGTACTGTCATACAGGACTGAAGAAGAAAATATTCACATTCAAGAAGCTGAAATTAAAAGGATTTGGGCATATTTCTTTTAGAAAATGACTCAAAATGATTAATTGATTATCAAAATAGTTTAACATTTGACAACTAATTGATTAATCGACTAATCGTTGCAGCTCTAGTATCAAAACAATGTAGAAGAGGCAGAGATACACTGTTGACAGAAGCAGTTGTGATAAATGTAAGAAATCACAAATTAAGGGCTATAACTAACTAACTAACTAACTAACTAACAATGTCATTATTGATTTATCGATTGGTAATGTAATCAATTAATTGATTAATCCTTTCCCAAAAACAGTAAAAATGCCAGTGTAATGTTTTCGAATAGCTTTTTGTCCCAAACCCTTTTTAGACATTTGTTTAATAAGAGAAAAGCATTTTAGAAGCTGGAACTGGAGCCATATAAATGACCTTTAATCCATTAATGATGATTAAACAGTTATTAAACTTGTTGTTCCATTATTGTTCTGTGGATGAACTAATTCATTAATCAATTAAAAATTTCAGCACAACATGAACTGAAAGCTGAACTCTCTATATATATGAACAATATTCAATCATAAAATAACAATGTGAGGTAACTTCATTCACTTCAGTCTGTATTCCCACATCAACACTGTTCAACAACTAACTCAGTTATTTTGCTATTTGAACATTTATTTACAGCTTCTATTATTTTACACTACAAATTGGATGCTTCATAATGTGCACTCATTACTGCTTATCTTTGTGACTGCAGTGTGTGACTGAACTGAGTTGTCCCAGAGGCCAGGATGAAATTAACTGCTGCCCTTTGCAAAAATCTGTAAGTATTTTAACTGATTTCCCTGACTGATCATCTGCTTGTCCTGAACTGAGAACCAGACATTATCAGCCTGCAGCCTCTCAGGCCGACATCACTTGCAGCGTGTGCTGTTTGAGTTTGATTTCCCTTTGGTTTCCACACACGCTTTCCCAGATAAAATCTTCATCATTTTGCCTCCCTGTCCACAATTAGGGGTTTTAAACTAAGTGTACACAGCGTCAAATTGAGTTATGGCTCCATGTCAATAAACTGTTTCACCCCCTCCCGTCAGTGCTGGAGCCAGAAGCTGACATCGTGATTGTCCTTGTCCGATTAGGCTGATCAATGAGACCGAACAGAGGAGAGAGGAAGAAGAAGAGGAGGAGGAGGAGAAGGAGAACTGAAGGATGTGTCTGTGTGTGTTGGGGTGGGGGCAGCTCCTCCCATAATTAAGTTAGCGTGCTGCGCTGGAGGTCCATGTTTACGAGGCAGGCAAGGGAGTTTCCTTCACTCGGTGGACAGCTCTGAGTGCGGAGAAGGCAGCAGCTCTCTCTCTCACTCTCTTCTCTCTGGTTATTATTCCTGCAACTCATCCCTCGCTGCGCTGCGACTGGCGACCTGCACGCTCAGGCAGATTCAGGACAAGCCGGAGGGGAAGCAGCGACGGCAGCAGCAGCAGTGGCACCTGCCTAACCCTCCACCACCGCCCTCCCTCCCTGCCCGGCCCAGGACCTCGTTTCTGCTGCCACCGCCTCCACCACCGTTGCCATCATGTGCGACTGCTTCCACCTGGCCTTCCCCAACTGGCACGCCGCCTCCTCCGGGACGGGTGGGCATCGCACACTCACTCTCTCTCTTTCTCTTCCTCTGTATGACTTTGTGTGTGCTGTTTCCCCCCTGAGCAATTCACTGATTCAGCAGCAGGGTTCAGTAGTGCAGAGGGAGAGATTACGTTTGTGTGTGTTTATGATGGAGGGCGACAGTGAGTGAGAGTAAGGCGGCTGGTGCTGATGCTGAGTTGTGTTGCTGACCTGCAGTGAGTAGCTGGGTGTGTCTGCAGAGTGCAGGGGAGTGTTTGAAGATGTCATCATCGAGGATGTCAGTCAGCTCTGCGCTTCTCCTGTTTCTCCCTCCTGCTGGGTGTTTGAAGCAGAGGCTGAAAGGCAGACAGATGCGGTTACTGTGGCAGTTCAGCAAAGCAAAAATAGTGTTAGAGGATAACTTCCTGGGGGTAGAGATGAAATTAGCAAAACATTCACTGGCAGGAGCCCCACAGATCTTAAGCTTTAAAGCTGCAGCCTTTATGTGAAAGAGGGAAGAGCTAGTACCTGTAACCTTGCATCAGTTTTTATGTTATAACCTAAAGAAATATTAAAACTTCTGAAAGTTTAGGATGCTGAAAGCTTTAAAGCTCACGCAGTGAATATTTTACTCATTACACCACTCCCAGTCCTTCTCTTGACAAATCGTATTATGAATGTTTCATGATTATAAATGGGTTTCAGGGAACCAGATAGAACTTCTATCTTTATGGTTACATGTAAAATGGATGCTGAGGTTCTGATTAGACACATCTACATGCTATATAAATAAACCATATCTGATCACGTATGTGGGCATAGAACATAGTTGTGTAGTTTGTATGAAATTGTTTCCATTGAAGCTATATTAGTGATGAAGGCAATTGATTGTATTCTTTAAAGTATGCTGGTAAAAACAGAGCGAATAGACAATTCATCATTATGAAAGTTTGAACTGTAAATCGGATTTTATTAAACAAATCGCTTTTGCAGACGAAACTGGTTTTAAAACATTTTGTCGATATAGATTTGTGTAAAACATATTCACTTGTTTGCTTTCAGAGCAACAGTTTTATAGAAAATAACCTCATCTGCTTTTACAGGGCTGTTGCTCTTACTAAAGATGATGAAGTCAGACAGAAACACTGGAATAAATGCACATAAATACAGTACTACAGTGCTGTCTAAGGTGGTGATACGTTTGTATTTGGAAACAATGCAGACAGTATGCAGGAGAATACAGACTGATTTTATGTTAATATGATATAATGATATGATACAATAGATACAGATCCATAAAGTTGTATAGCATTGGATCTTTCCGGATACAGGCCCTTTCTGAGCCAGAGAAATTGCTGCATCACTGACACTGACATGTAGATGATATATGGTTCAGGGGCAGGAGATAATAAAGAAAATGCTTACTGTAATTTACAACATGTCTTATTTAGTGTCCTAGCTACTCAAAATGTATATTGTGTTTGTTATAAGTGGTATTTAGTTTAGTGTGTTGGCAAGGGCTCAGGTTGATGTTTGTTTTAGAAAGGAGGTGAATACCTGCTGTCTGGTAAATTATTCATTTCAGAATAATACTGGCTGTGTTCCTCTGTTGCCACTTTCCATTTCCCACAATTTTCCTAATTTACCTGTGTTGCTACTTTTAATTAAATCTACCTCAAGATGTGGAGAGGGCTGTGTTCCTCTGAGAGGCTTCAGGCGATGCTCAAGGTCAGAGAAAGAGAGAGAGAGAGAGAAAGAGAGAAAAAGAGAAAGAGAGAGGGAGAGAGAGAGCTTATCTTACTGCTAGGAAGTGAGTCAGACGGGGGTTGCTGATCTGCTCGGCAGTGGAGCCTAATGCAGACGATCCTGATCCATTACGAACCATCAGCCTCAGTCGGACAAATCCTGTCCTTAAATCAATATTTCTTACTTTATAATTGTAGCTGCTGAGAAGAATCAATCTGAGCATTTGTTTTAACCTGTTTGAAGCATCAGGCAGGTGGATATTGCTTTATATATATATATATAATATATATATATATATATATATATATATATATATAGTATGTGTAATGTGTAATATGTATAATGTTTTTTTCTTTTTAAATGATAAAAAATACAATCCTGACAATGGTTTGAACATTTCAGGTTTTAGGAACTTACTGACACCCATTACTTAAACCGAAGCTGCTCATATTTTATGTCCTCATTCTTGTCAGAGAGGAAAACACCTGAAACATCTTTCAGACCATCACACGTCACTGAAACCCAGACTAAACGCAAACTAGTGGAGCTTTAAATTAGCCTACTTGGAATCAGTTCTCAAAAACAAAAGTGAATTAAATGAAACAAATGCAGGTTATTTACATGTCCGGTTTGTTTGGTACAAAAACTTACATTTAATAAAACACCACAATCTATATGTAACTCGAGTAGATGATCACATTTCAATCTGAGCGTCTTGGTGCTCCGGGCACACGAGGCAAAACAAACACTGAGAGTGTTAGCAAACACGGTTCAACCCAGGTGTAGGCTGCTGGCCTGAAATAATGTTGTGTCTCTGTGCTTTTGGTGTAATAGCATGTCGTGGGAAAACAGGCAGATTAAGATACGAATTCCAGAGCTGTGATGAAACTCTCTGTAAGTTTGCAGCAGATTAGTAGATTGAAAGCATGCGCTTTTACAGTCTCATGTTCATATAATCCATGCAGAAAATCGAATTCTGTTTCCCCCCCCTTCGCTCAAATCTTATTATAATTTGGATCCAAACAAACTGCCTCCCAGTGAAAGGAACTTGTGTCTGTCAGTTACACAAAAAATGAGCAGAATCCAAATCCAAGAGCACAAATAATGAGCTGTATTACTTTATATTAGTTTAGTGAAGAGGGGAGCTTCAGGGAGCCTTCCAGGTGCTTTTCAACAGGAAGCACAAACTGGAGCAGAAGGCGGTTACGTAAGGGATGAGCTGAGGACAGGCAACTAACACAATGCAGTCGAGAGTTTAATTTAAACTTTGAGAATTGCAGTTTTTGTTTTTACAAGATCGTATGATTTGAATCAATGCCAACACAAGAGGGTGAGAGGTTCACTGACACAGCGTTGTGCCGGAACAGATGAGTTTCAGTGTCAACAGCGTTGTTTGAAAGCAGACAGTCACCGTACTTTATAAGCCTCGTTCCTCATCACATCAGCAAGCAAGTGAGGGATGAGCCACACCCAGATCCAGAGCTGCAGTTGCACCCAAATATGAATCATGCAGGATCTGCACCACGGTACTTCAACATTCACTGCTTGTGCTCGCCATCAAAGTCAAATCACAACGTTACGCAGCAGCTTGATGAATATTTATCATATCTAATCTAAGTCAAACAAGTAAATAAGTCTAATATGTGATTTTATTTTGACATTTTTAGTCAGCAGGGCGAGTTGTTATCAGGCCCTCTGCAACGCCCACATGACAAATATTTGAGAAAGGAGTTTCTATATGTGCGGTGCCAGTTGTTGGGGCAGGAGTACTGGACATCCGCCTGGATGAAGTGGTCAACAACATAAGAAATACATCATCCTTTCATTCAAACAGGGCCTGAATCCTCCGTAAAGCTCACTGCACACATTGACACCATGATTCACTACTACAGCAGCTGTGTGAGACATGGCTCATGACAGTTTACAGCCTTGAGGGATCCAAGCACTCATTTAAAACGTTAATTTAATGAATCTGTGTAATTCGGGTGCAGTTTAACATCCCATCCCATCAGTAGCTCCACTTCACTCCTCAGCTCCAACAGAATACTGAATGTGCCAGATGTCCCGAACCTAAGTATACGATTACTGATAATAATCATTTTACAATGACGCTGTTCTATTTTAGTCAGGTAATTTATCACTGAGTGCTGAATGTGCAGATGTAAACAGCAACAACAGAAAGCAAGAAAAAAAATCTCAGTGGAAAACTTCTTATGAGCAGTGGCACTGCCAAGGGGGGGGGCTATAGCTCCCAAAATATACTCACTGGCCACCCCACTGACCCCCATATGCTTCTATTGGATATTTTACATTATATAATATTCATGTAAACCAATAATGCATATTTTACATTATTTAATTAGAAAGAAAATAACAAATCCAGCCATCCGCTTTGATATGTCAGCAAGACCTCTACAGAGTCACTTTCTGACCGTTATAGGCGTGTCTCCCTTATCTTATCTGTTTGTTAAAGCTGAAACATATACCACCTATCCTTCTCTTCCCTCCCAAGGGACTTTGCTTTCAAGAACCACCTTTCATATTTGCAGGTTTTGTCTGCAAGGGGACCGATGTTTACGTAATAATTCTACAGTACGTTACATCAACTGTACCTGACTTTGCACAACCATCTTAAACCCTTAATTTCTTCCATTAAGTCAACTGTGCACTAACCAGAATAAGCCACGCTAGCAATTCTATGAGGCTGTACTCACAGAGGCTATAGGTTTCTTTGAGCTAAATGCTAACGTTCTCACGATAACAAGGACGACATGACGTGTAGAAGGATGACCGTGTTCACCATCTCTGTTTAGCCTGTTTTTTATTTGCTAATTAGCACTATATATAAAGAACAGTTGAGGCTGATGGAGAAATCATCCGTTTTGACTTTGAACTGATGATGGTGGTAGATGAAAAGCACAAGGGATCATTAAAGTTATTACAATTAAACCTGAGGGGAACAAGAATGTCTGGGGATCAAAGTCACGAGGATTCAACATCTGGGGACCACGAATGTCAGTCAGTCCAGTGGTTGTTGAGATGTTTTAGTCTGAACTAAAGTGGCAGAAGAACTAAACGACTGACATCTCTACAAAACGTGAGCTTAAAAAGTGTCAGTATGATTGTTTTTATCAGGACCGTATTGGTTTAAGGAAACTCTGGAGAGTTTTTAATCTGTTTTGTGCGTGGGGTTGTTAATGGGTTGCTAATGCAAAAATACGCATTACAATTCTCCAGATTCCATTAAACGTCCCTTGACTCGTTACCCTTGATTCTACTTAATTAAAAATATTACATTTCCTTTTCTAAATTAAATTAATTACAGGTTCTCAGTTACTTGTTTTGCTGCTATGGAAAAAGGAAGTTTTAATGGTTGTAGCTCTGATTTTTTGTGATATTGGAGTAAGGTCTTTTCCCCCATCATTAATCAATTAAGCAAATGTAAGGGAGTGTGGTATTGATGAATGAGAGATTAATGTAAATGTAAGGTTACTTTATGGTTCAAAGAGTTAGCTCTCTGAACCAAAGTCACCATGAGGATCTTTAGAAATCACTTAATCCACTTTGGGAGTGACACCCAAGGTATGACTGCAACCTAAAAGTGTCCCGCCTCTTTTGTCCATCTGAGACTGAACAAATCATTTTGGCCACTTTGGCATTCACTCTCATGCCAGGAATGTTTAAAGGCAGTTTGGACAGCGTGTTATTAACACTTCGGTTCATTTCCAGGAGTTAAAACAAACAACAGAAGCAGGTAGGTGAGGCTGTTTGAGTCCACAGAATGAACTTTTTGTTAGTCAAACCTGGTCTGAAAGAGATAAAGGGTTACTTCTGCATTAAAAGGAGTCATACAGCGCTCGAGTTAATGGTGTAGGCAGCTGTAGAGACTGTTGGTTATTATATTTCACAAGATGTCTAGACTGTGGTGTGTTCGGAGTTCACAGTGTGAGTCTTCTTTTGTGTCAGATAAATGTTCTCTGATGCTATTTCTGAGCCTGGTGTCAGAGCAATGTCTGTCTGTGGCGACTTGTGTTTCAGGTATTCTTCTCAGTGTCAGTCATGAAAATATCGGAACTATAATATAATTCGATAGCTTCTTGAACTCTCTTGAATTATCAACCTTGAGGCAGTGACACGCCCTGATACAGTGGGAGGTTTTTTTTATACCATCAGCGCCTGTTGACTCTTAACTGTCTTCTAATGCACTTACACAGGCAGTTAGAGCTTTTCACATGACATACATTAAGTCAGTGGGTGGGCCCTCTGTGGTGGTTGCTTAACAAACTATGGTGATGATGCAGTATATTATGCTCATCTGATCAGATACTGGATTGTTATATAATTTTGATTTTAAAATTCAACATTTTTAAATTAATATTTAACCCCAAAATCATAGGTTTTGCAACAGTTACTTGCCAGAAAACAGTTTTCAAATGAATTTACAGAAAGTTTAACCTCTACTAGTGTCACTTTTTTAATCCAGAGCAGTTTAAAGACAGCAAATTGATATTAAACATCCATAAAAACCTCTCAAACTACTCGTTAAAAATACTAATTACATCCTGAATACATGTTTTTTCTAATATATTTGCTAAGTCAGTCACATCCACAATATCTTGTAACCCTCACTCACTGGCTTCCCATTTTTGACACTTGGATAACCAAGATTTTAATTACACTGCACAATAGTGGGGTCACAGTGCTGAAACCGAGACAAAAACCGTGTCACACGTCACAAGTTGTGGTTCTATATTGCATGTCGAGCCCCCCCGCCCCACTAAAAGTAGTGGTTTGGTCCCTCTGACTCATGTACGTGGCATCATTAGATAACGGATATTGAAGCATACAGAGTGTACACAGCATGTTACTGTTGCAGCTGCTGGACGTGGAGCTAGTTTAAACTACCTTATATACAGTTAAGACCATAAATCAGCAGCAGTCAGCAGGTGTCCTGACTCCTTATAAGACACAGAAAGCTTGTTTTCTTTTCAACTGTTTTGGTAATAGTTATGGCCAGTGAAACATTGTTGGCACTGTGAGCCCAAAACTGTGATTCTGTACCATCACACCCCTCCTGCACAAGTATCCTGACACTTTGTAAATGCTTGTAGGAGCTCTGCTCATCCAGCATTGTAGATAAATGGAGCTGATATGACGTGGATGCAAACATTATACATTTTGGGTGACATTCTCCTTTAATTTCTTGATTTGAGTTGGAGTTTAGTGCCTCAGTAAGACTTACATAGATTGCAGTTTTAGTCTTACAAATGATCAACTATCCCTCAACAGAAAAACACTTATCAGCTGCTCAAATTCCAAAACATTTCTGTCTGCAAATGAAATGATTTGATTCTCCATAGTGAGTGCAACCACATTTATTCCATTCTAATTTCTACTGACAACACCCAATGATCAATGGCATCTTGATGATGTGAATTTATTAGCGGATTAGGATGTGAAACCACAGAAACTGTGGAGACGTGGAGGACAGAGCAACACTAGAATTTTATGCCAAACAGTTTAACAACTAACAAGTGGATGACTAAGTAGGAATCCTGATACAACGAAGCTCACATTAAATTAGCCTCAATAAAGAGGTAGATTAAAATGTAATTAAATTGAGGTTAGATATCAGAGCAGGTAATGCTAATAATCTGACTAACCATATTCATCTGGAGTCAGACTTTCCGTCTTTGGCAGCCTTGAGGGGCCAAACTGAGAGGCTGCAGAGTCTAATCTGCGGATCGATACAGTGGATCACTTAACGGGCGAAGGAGGCAGCGGGCCCCTGGGGGAATTTTTGCCAGGAAGAACTCTAAATAGTCTCATCATCGACTCCAGTGTCTCTCGGAGCCTCAAAACATTTGCCAGACTGGGTGAAAGTCTCAGTTTACTGATGAAAAAATAGCATTTGTGCAGTTTCTGTTGCATTGTTGCATTCATTCAAAGGCAAGAAAACATCACTCTGGTTGAGCCTTACAGACTCTACTTTTCATACTAACAGTATAGTACAATAAAATAATAACAATAATTTGTTAATCTTGACGAATGCATTGTATTTGCCGTGTTTGTAAATGCATGACGACATTATTTATTTAGCATTAGACTTTGCCCAGCTGCTCGGTGACTGCTGCTAAAATGAACTAATGCTAATTAGCTGTGCATCACCACACATTATATTTCTGAGATGAACTTGTGCTTGTGGAGCCTGATGGAATGAAGATCTATTTACTAGAAATGTGTTACAATAAGGAGATGCCATATCAGATGTTATTTTGGTATTTATTTTCTTTCTGTGTGTTTTTTGTGTCGGTGAACAGGAGCTGGTCGAAGGCTGAGGGCACCAGAGCCGGGTACAGAGGACGATTCGGTGAGTGACTTCACTGTGACTGAAAGTTAAATTAATGTTTTATTTCATGTCTTTCTCTTGTTCTGTCACTTAAGGTTTCTGTCTTGGCTTCAATCAAGTGTCACTATGGTAAAACTGAAAACACGTACACACTAAGGATGTCTGGATCAGCTTTTTTTTGGCCCCGATCCCGATTAGAGTCCTTTAATATTTGTATTACTGAAACAGAGTTTGATCCAAAACTCATATTTACCTAAATGTTGATTAAATATGTGCCTGAAACATTGAAATAACAGCTGTAGTCTTCTACATTTGGCACACTTTACTTTTCTTGAGTGATTTCATCCAAAGACCCCTTTGAGTTGATAAGAAATGAGGATTAATCCTCTGGTGACCATTAATGTCTTTACTGAATTTTATGGGAATAAACTGACGTTGAAAACCAACGTTGGAAACACACTTACAAGTGTGACAATTATTAAATACTAAACAGCCAAACACTATGCCAGTCAGTGCAGCCTTTGGCATAGCAAGGTGTTATCACACTATTTGTAATCCAGTTTTGTCCACACCTTTGTGGTTCTTGCTGCAGACACAGCTACACAAGTTTTAACACTCAAACTGTTTCAGGTTGGCTGAAGGAAGAGGAGAGAAAGATGTCCGACTGAAACTGACTCAAACGACATGATATCTGTTTGAATTGATAACAGCTCTTTTGGGAACAGACCATGTGACTGTGACTGACCTTGTGTCCCTGCAGGTATGTGACGAGCCATCTCAGTTCACAGAGGGAGAGAGACCACGCCCTCAAGGATCGTCCCCGGTCGAGGAGTATCCTGAAACTGAAAAATACACAGACAGTGACAAAGAGGTACAGAGCACCAACATACCACGATGTCACACAGGCACAACAAACCAGGTTACAGGGAGAAACTAGGTTAAGACAATAAATCAAAGAACCTGCGTCCACGCACTTCTATGATGTGGATATGCAGTTAAAATATAAACGTGACTAAGAAATTAGGTTTCTTGATCTCTCACGCTTGTTAATTTTACCATGAGGTTTTGGAGAACAGGTTATAACAGAGAACAGACTTTAACCTGGTTACTTAAATACTTGTAAAGACACTGAGTCATTCAGCTGTGTACTTGTGATTCAATCGTCTATTTTGTTTTGGCCGCAGACAAATGAAGTTAGAAAAACAAGCTTGTGACCGAGAGAGGCAAGATCATGTACTGGGTTCATTTATGCTCACGAGGAGCCATGTATGTCCTAAAATCAAAATATCAGGAGTATCTTTAATGACAGCCCTAAACTAAAGATATGAAATTTAATTTGGTGTGTTGCTGTGTGTGGCTGTCACCCTCAAAATGTGATTTTCTGTCAGAACCTATGAACTAAATCTTTGCTGGAGGAACATTTTCGTTTTTTATTTATTCACAAACTTGAAGAAGCCACAGCCTCCAAGGAAATAGTATCACTTACTGTATATGTTGTTGTTTTTATTGCCACAAATTACGTAGTTATTTAATTATCACCATCCATTCATTAGTTTTCTTCCCTTTGACACTCTCAGCATGGACAGCTTGGTTTTAGTAGACATTTATTTAGATGTTGGAGTGAGAGATGGGGATATAATAGGACACAATGATATCCTTGACATCCCTTGATGAATAGTAAGAATATAGAGTGCACAAATTAGTCATTTTAGGGAACAATACATCAACTATCCCACATGTACCGGCTCTGTATGTCAACAAGTGTGGATTAACATGAGCTCCCTGTGTTGTTTAATGTTGCACATTGCTGACTCAGCTACTCCCATGTATGGATTTAATTATAGCGTATTAACCTTCCCTCTCAATAATTTAAAAGACTGAAATATCTGTTTTTTTTGTTCAAATAAGGTTGAAGCTCTGACTGCAACAACATTTTTTTTTTTATTAAGTTAGAATTAAAATAATTATTTCACATTTTTCTTTTAGTGTGAAGCGGAGCATGACCCACACCACAAAAGTGGGAGTGGAAAGAGAACTAAAAAGTCTGGGCTTGGGTCCATGTTTGAAAAGCGCTCAACTCCAAAGATGAGTAAACTGAAGGTGAGACATTGCCACCATCTCCTCTCTGTATTGTATCTGTGAATCCCTCCAGGCTGTGCTGCAGCAGAGAATAGCACAGCTAAAGGTAAAATGATTTTATCCTTTCTATTTTGATGTTTTGGCAGGAAGTTCCCAGCCCCGAGTCTGGGGTAATAGTGAAAACTGCCAAAGATGGATGTGCAGAGGGTCTCATTTATGGTGGAGGGGGAAAAGAAGGGATCTTCATTAAGGAAGTGGTACCAGAGTCCCCTGCATCAAAGAGTCTGAAACTTAAAGAAGGTAAATTAGCAATTGGCAACAAGAAACAATTATAGATTTTCTGTCCAATAACAATGAAAACTAAAAATGCTTTTACTAATTTGAGGGAGAAATGTGGGACTAATGAAGAATCTATATTTTACTTTCATTTACTTTATTGACTTGTTTTTAACACTTCCAGTTTCATAGACTGACAGCCCTCTCATCTAAGTGCTTCTGAAATCTTTTTGCTCTGGTTTACGCAGGTGATCAGGTTCTGAGTGCCACAGTGTATTTTGACAACGTGTCATACGAAGATGCCATTCAGATTCTGGAGCACGCTCAGGCGTACAAAGTGAAGCTCTGCTTGAAACGCAAACCAGATATCACAGAGACTGAATCAGCCATTGAATCTGACGTCATCCCTGTAACTATTTTCAAGTTGTCTGCTCAGAATCTTTGTGATAGGTAGTCTTGGGAGTAAAACTGACATTTCATATTTCTGTTTCTCGACAGGAGGAAGACATCTATGCTCCAGAGATGAGGGAGCAAGGAAAAACAAAAAGGCGCGGTGATGCTCGCATTTCATGGCCTAAGTTTCCCTCTTTTGGAAAAGGACGGAAGTCCCGCTTTACAAGGTCTCACAGTTCCTCAGAGGCTGATGAGCAGAGAAAGCTTGAGCTGAGCCCCACCACAAGTGACACAGAGTCACCTATAAAATCTCAGGATGCACAGAAAGGCAAGAAGAGGCATAAAATAAAGCTTTCTCTTCTGACAAAGAGAGGCCGCATAAGTTCATCTGAAGACCAGGACACAGATACACCAACAACTGGGCAGATCATCCAGACACATGATGCATCAGACATGCTTTCACCTGAGTGCCTTGAAAGCCCCTCGGGAGAAACACCTGAAATCTATGTGACAGGGGATCGGAAAGTAGTGGAAGACTTAAGACTTGGGCAAAATGATCAAAAACTGACTGAACCTCAAACTGTTCAACACAAGGTTGAACTCATAACTATAGATAGCACTTTGAAAACAGAAGATCTAACTGTGGCTCTGGCAGATAAAGACAGCTCCTCGGGTATCAAGTCCCCTGATGGCAAGAAAAAGAAGAAAGAACGTTCTGAATTAAAAATTAAAATTTTGGGGAAGGATAAAGGGCACAAGAAAGATGCAAAAGCAAAATCCTCACCGAAGAGGCTGAAAACGCTCGGGGCAAGTATTGAAATACCAGATCAACCTGAAAAATCAGCTGCCATCCCAAGTTCTGAGTCGCACACAAAACTACAGGATCAACTAGCACCTGATGATAATACCCGAATCATCAGCAGTGAGAGTTCAAGGGTAATCTCAGCAAAATCAGTGACAACACAGATGGAAATGAGTGTTCCGAAGGTGGAACTTGATATACCCGATGTCTCCTTCATACGGAAATCTCCACAGAAAGGTGAACAAAAAATGAAGGACATTAAACAAGAAACAAAGACAGGTCCAACATTCAAACTACCTAGAATAGGCTTGGGTGACCTTGCCACTGAGGAAACTATACAAAAAATGAATGTGAATGTTGAAGAATGCACGACTAAAATGAAGCAGCTGACAACTGAGGGTACAGAAGTGAAAGAAGACCCTTATGAGCGACTGTCAAAAAGCAGCTTTTCCAGAATAGAACTTCCCAAACGTGAAGAAATTGAAATTCCAGGTATGGAGGACATGTCTAGGAGGACCACAGCCAGAGGAATTAAAGAGCCTAAAGCTGGTTTCACGGGACATTATGAAGAAATTCAAGCCGAAGCTGTACAAATGTCAATTGATGTTGACAGCGTGAAAGAGGCAGTATCAAAATTGCCTGGATTTAAGCTACCTAAGGTTGACACGTCAGGAGTGCCTATTCCTGAAGAAATTATTGTGATAGACGCAAATGCACAAAGAATATCAGTGAAAACGCCTACTAAAGTAGTAGATACCAAAACAAAATATGAGACACACTTCATTACATTTGATACAACTGCCTCTCCAGAAATCTCCAAGACAACAGTAAAACTACCAAAAATCCCACCTGCTTTAACCTCAGAGGAACTTTTAATCGAGACCCAGGTAGATTTAAAGAAACCCGAAAAGAAATCAAAAACTAACGCAAAACAAAGTGACAAAGAAATTAAAACTGAGGTTTATAAACGAGAAGATATTATAATACCTGGAAAAGAAAGTGCACCAGAAGTCGCCATTATTCAGGCACAAGACACAGAGGGCATCAAATCGGACTATGACACTGCAGCTACACTGAGCCCAAAAGAATCTGAGAAGAAATCAAAGAAGGCAAAGATAACAGCTAGCTTTGGGATTGCAAAACCAGACATTAAAATCCCTGACATTGGAATTGACTTACCAAAACAAAATATCTATGAGCGAAAAGTGGATGGCGTAAAAGGAGAGAAAACTGAAGCAAGAAAAGGCAAAGGCCAAACTGGAGGAGTCATATCTGATGTCAAAATACCTGAAATTGACGGCATTGAATACATTGATTCAGTAGGTGGTTCACCAAACAAAAAGGATGGTGGCAGCTGGATTGCAGGTTTTGGTTTTAGTCTTGATGCTACAAAGCCAAATGCTAACATCTCCTTTCCAGACGTCAGAGATGAATTAGAAGATGTCAGTGTAAATGTCCCTGATGTAGATAAGGATATACATATTGATGGGGCAGAGATACAAACATTGGAAAGAGAGGGAAAAGTTAGCAAGTTTAAAATGCCAAACCTAGGCATCTCCATACCAAAGGTAAAAGGACCTAAAATGGATTTAAGCCTATCAAAAAAAGATGTAGATGTCACACTACCAGAAACTAAAGCTGAGGTCAGACTCCCAGAAGTGCCTGAGGTTGATGTTACCCTTGGGAATGTTACTATTACAGAGCAAAAGATGGAGGTAGAAAAACCTGAATTTGAAATCAAACCTATGATGAGGGAAGGTGAACTTGATGGACAAGGAGGCAAATTCAAAATGCCAAAACTTGGTATCAAAATGCCAAAAATGAAAGGACCTGAATTTGATTTAAGCATATCAAAGAAAGACATTGATGTCAAACAAACAGATGCTAAAGCTGAAGGGAAAATCCCCAAAGCTCCTGAGATTGACGTTACTTTTGGAAGTGTAGATGCCTCTATTCCACAACAAAAGATGAAGGTCAAAACTCCTGAATTGGAAAACAAACCTCTGCAGACTGATGGTGAACTTGATGGACAAGGAAGCAGGTTCAAAATGCCAAAGTTGGGAATCGCAATGCCGAAAGTAAAAGGGCCTGAAATGGATTTCAGCTTATCTAAGAAAGACGTAGATGTGACGCTACCAGAAGCCAAAGCAGAAGTCAAACTCCCTGATGTTGAACTAAAAGAACACACTGCTAAAGTAGAAATCAAAGCTCCTGAATTTAAAGGTGCAGAAAAGGATGTTGAAGGATCACCATCAAAATTTAAGATGCCATCATTCAAACTACCAAAATTTGGTGTTGGTACTCCACACGTCTCTGTTAAAGTACCTGATATGGACAAAGATGTAAAAATCGATGGAGCTGACATTAATATCCCTGAAGAGCAGTCTGCGGTTAACATTGCATCACCCGAGGTTGACATTGAGGGCTCCTCAATAGATATGAAAACTATAGGAACTGAACAGGATGGAAAAGGAGGCAAGTTTAAAATGCCACATCTTGGTTTCTCTATGCCAAAGGTGAAAGGACCAAAAATTGATTTAAGCCTACCAAAGAAAGATCTAGATGTGACATTACCAGAGGCTAAAGCTGATGTCAAACTTCCAGAGGCCCCTAAAATTGCTGTGGAGATGAAATCACCAGAATGTGAAGCAGAAATGGATGGTCATGATGGGAAGATTAAAATACCAAAGTTTGAAGTCAAAATGCCAAAAGTAAAAGGGCCAGAATTTGATTTAAGATCATCAAAGAAAGATGTAGATGTCAAATTACCAGAGACCAAGGCTGATGTCAAACTTCCAGAGGTTGATCTAGGAAAAGTAGATGTTTCAATTCCAAAGGCCAAGATGGAGGTTCAAAGCCCTGAACTGGAAATGCAGTCCTTGCAGACTGATGGTGAACTTGATGGACAAGGAGAAAGGTTCAAAATGCCAAAGTTTGGAATCAAAATGCCAAAGGTAAAAGGGCCAGAGTTTGACTTGAGTTTATCAAAGAAAGACATGGATGTGACATTGCCACAGACAAAAGCTGAGGTCAAACTCCCAGATGCCCCTAAGATTGATGTCAGTCTTGGAAAAGCAGAAGTTTTGACTCTAGATGCAAAGGCAGAAGTTGAAAAACCTGAACTGAAAATGAAATCTTTGCGGACTGAAGTTGAAGGACAAGGAAGCAAGTTCAAAATGCCAAAGTTTGGTATGGCAATGCCAAAGGTAAAAGGACCTGAATTTCATCTAGGCTTCTCAAAGAAAGATGTTGATGTGACACTACCAGAAGCCAAAGTAGATGTCAACCTCCCTGATGTTGAACTAAAAGAACCGTCAGCTAAAGTAGAAATTAAAGCTCCTGACATTGCCAAGGTGGAAGTTAAAAAACCTGAAGTGGAAATCAAACCTTTGCAGACTGATGTTGAACTTGAAGGACAAGGAGGAAAGTTCAAAATGCCAAAGTTTGGAATAACAATGCCAAAAGTAAAAGGGCCTGAAATTGATTTAAGCTTCTCAAAGAAAGATGTAGCTGTGATACTACCAGAGGCAAAAGCTGAGGTTGAACTCCCAGAAGCTCCTAAAATTGCTATGGATATGAAACCACCAGAGTGTGAGGCAGAAATTGATGGACAAGGAAGCAGATTTAAAATGCCAAAGTTTGGAATCACAATGCCAAAGGTAAAAGGGCCTGAAATTGATCTAAGCCTCTCCAAGAAAGATGTAGATGTGACACTACCAGAAGCTAAAGCTGAGGTCAAACTCCCAGAAGCTCCCAAAATTGCTATGGAAATGAAACCACCAGAGTGTGAGGCAGAAATTGATGGACAAGGAAGCAAGTTTAAAATGCCAAAGTTTGGAATCACAATGCCAAAAGTAAAAGGACCTGAAATTGATTTAAGCTTCTCAAAGAAAGATGTGGATGTGACACTTCCAGAAGCCAAAGCTGAAGTCAAACTCCCCGATGCTGAACTTAAAGAACCTTCTGCTAAAGTGGAAATTAAACTTCCTGAGACTGAAGCTCAGTTAGGTCATGTGGAAGGATCGGCATCAAAATTTAAACTGCCAACATTCAAATTCCCTAAATTTGGAGCTGCCACTCCAAATGTCAGTGCGGAAGTATCTGATATGGACATAAAAGTTGAGGGAGCTGGTATGAACATAGATGGAGCAACAGTTGCAGCACAGAATATTGATATTGAGGCTCCTTCTCTCGATGTGAAAATGACAGGAACTGAAGGCAAGGGAAAAGAAAGCAAGTTTAAGGTGCCAAAGTTTGGGATATCACTGCCGAAAGTACAAGGGCCTGAAATTGATGTCAATTTTTCTAAGAAAGATGTCAAATTACCGGAGGCTAAGGCAGAGGTTAAACTCCCAGAAACACCTGAAATTGACATTAATCTTGGAAAAGTAGATGTTTCAATTCCAGAAGCAAAGCTGGAGGTTAAAAAACCTGAACTGGAAATGAAACCCTTACAGTCTGAAGGTGAACTTGGCGGGGAAGGAAGCAAGTTCAAAATGCCAAAGTTCGGAATGTCAATGCCAAAAGTAAAAGGACCTGAAATTGATGTCAGTTTATCAAAGAAAGATGTAGAAATCACACTACCAGAAGCCAAAGCAGATGTCAATCTGCCTGATGTTGAACTGAAAGAACCTTCTGCTAAAGTGGAAATGAAGGCTTCTGAAATTGAAGCTCAATTACACAGTGTGAAAGGATCACCTTCAAAATTTAAAATGCCAACATTCAAATTTCCCAAATTTGGAGTTGCAGCACCAACCGTCAGCACTGAAGTACCTGATATAGACAAAGAAATCAAAATTGATGGAGCTGACATGCACATATCTGTGCCACAAACAGATGTTGATGTACAAGAAATTAAGACAGAGATCTCTCTGCCAGAGGCTGAAGTCAAAGAGCCTTCAGGTGGTGTTGTGATAGACCAACCAGGTGTGGAGGTGGATGCAAAACTGAAAAAGCGAAGGTTTTCACTGCCAAGATTTTCTTTTTCAAAATCAAGTGTTAAGTCCCCAGAAGTTGATGTCAGTCTTCCAGATGTGAATGCTGCAATTCCAGAGGGAAAGGTGGAAGTGAAAGGAGGGGACGTGGATACGAAACTACCAGAGTGTGAAGCAGAACTTGATGGGCAAGGAAGCAAGTTTAAAATGCCAAAATTTGGAATCACAATGCCAAAGGTAACAGGTCCTGAAATTGATATCAGCTTTACAAAGAAAGATGTTGACGTGACACTACCAGAAGCCAAAGCTGAGGTCAAGCTCCCTGACACTGAACTGAAAGAACCTTCTGCTGAAGTGGAAATCAAAGCTCCTGAGTTCAAAGTTGTGACGAAGGATACAGAAGCATCACCATCAAAATTTAAGATGCCAACATTCAAATTACCAAAATTTGGAGTTGGTATGCCAAGTGCCGACATAGAAGTTCCCGACACGAACAAAGATGTCACAATTGATGGAGCTGACATTAAAATTCCTGAAGAGGTTCACACAGTTGAAATTGTAGCACCCAGCATTGACACTGAAGGACCATCAATAGATATGAAAACTAAAGGAACTGAACATGAAGGAAAAGGAACTAAGTTTAAAATGCCAAAGTTTGGAATCACAATGCCAAAGGTTACAGGTCCTGAATTTGATTTAAGCTTATCAAAGAAAGATGTTGATGTGTCAATACCAGAAGCTGAAGCTGAAGTCAAAGTCCCTGATGCTGAACTGAAACAACCCTCTGCTGCAGTGGAAATCAAAGCTCCTGAGTTCAAGGTTGTAACAAAGGATACAGGAGGATCACCATCAAAATTTAAGATGCCGACATTCAAATTACCAAAATTTGGGTCTCCTAGTGCCACTGTTGAAATGCCTGATGCGGACAAAGACATCAAAATCGATGGAGCTGACATTAAAATTCCTGAAGAGGTTCTCACAGTTGAAATTGCAGCACCCAGCACTGACACTGAAGGCCCATCAATAGATATGAAAACTATAGGAACTGAACATGAAGGAAAAGGATCCAAGTTTAAAATGCCAAAGTTTGGAATCACAATGCCAAAGATAGCAGGTCCTGAAATTGATTTAAGCTTATCAAAGAAAGATGTTGCTGTGACACTACCAGAAGCCAAAGCTGAGGTCAATCTCCCTGACGTTGAACTGAAAGAACCTTCTGTTGAAGTGGAAATCAAAGCTCCTGAGTTCAAGGTTGTGACAAAGGATACAGGAGGATCACCATCAAAATTTAAGATGCCAACATTCAAATTACCAAAATTTGGGTCTCCTAGTGCGACTGTAGAAATGCCTGATGCGGACAAAGGCATCAAAATCGATGGAGCTGACATTAAAATTCCTGAAGAGGTTCTCACAGTTGAAATTGCAGCACCCAGCATTGACACTGAAGGCCCATCAATAGATATGAAAACTACAGGAACTGAACATGAAGGAAAAGGAAGCAAGTTTAAAATGCCAAGTCTCGGTTTTTCTGTGCATAAAGTCAAACAGCCTGACACTGATTTAAGCTTATCAAAGAAAGATGTAGATGTGACACTACCAGAAGCCAAAGCTGATGTTAAACTCCCTGATGTTGAACTAAAAGAATCTTCAGCCAAAGTGGAAATGAAAGCTCCTGAAATTGATGTTCAGGCGGGTTATGTTGAAGGATCACCATCAAAATTTAAAATGCCAACATTCAAATTACCCAAATTTGGAGCTGCTACTTCACAGGTCAGTGTAGAAGTACCTGATTCGGACAAAGACATTACAGTTACAGTGGATGGAGCAGACTTAAAATTACCACAAACAAAAGCTGAAGTCAAACTTCCTGATGTTGAAGTCAAAGAGCCTGTGGGTTCAATTTTATTATCACCAGTGACAGAGGGTGATGCCAAGTTGAAAAAGCCAAGGTTTTCATTACCCAAATTTTCATTTTCAAAGCAAAGTACAAAAGAAACTGGAGTTGATGTCAGTCTCCCAGGCGTTGATGTTTCTCTTCCAGAAGTAAATGTGGAAGTCAAACAACCAGAGGTGGAGCTTAAGCCACCAGAAGGTGATGTAGAATTAGATGGACAGGGAAGCAAGTTTAAAATGCCAAAGTTCGGCATCTCAATGCCCAAAGTTAAAGGACCTGAAATCGATTTGAGCTTGTCGAAGAAAGATGTTGATGTCACACTCCCAGAAGCCAAAGCTGAAATGAAACCTCCCGATGTTGAAATAAAACAACCGTCTGCCAAAGTGGAAATCAAAGCTCCTGAGATAGAAGCTCAAACAGGTTATGTTGAAGGATCACCATCAAAACTTAAAATGCCGACATTTACATTACCCAAATTTGGAACAGCTACTCCAAAGGTCAGTGTGGAAGTGCCTGATGTAGACAAAGACATTAAGATTGATGGAGAAAAGATGGAAGTAACTAAAGAAGGGGCTACAGTGGTTGTCACAGCACCCAGCATTGACACTGAAGGCCTGTCTGTAGATGTGAAAGCTACAGGAGGTGAAATTGAGGGAGCAGGAAGCAAGTTTAAAATGCCAAAGTTCGGCATCTCGATACCAAAAGTTAAAGGACCTGAAATTGATTTAAGTTTAACAAAGAAAGATGCAGATGCCACACTCCCAGAAGTTAAAGCTGAGGTAAAACTGCCAGATGTTCAAATCAAAGAACCTGAAGTTGCCATTTCAGTACCAGATGCTCCTGCAGTTGAGGCTGAAGCCAAGATGAAACGACCAAACTGGACATTTCCCAAATTTTCATTTTCAAGGACAGGTGGTAAAGCCCCTCAGGTTGATGTTGAACTTGAAAAACCAAAAGTTGATGTTACATCACCTGAGGCCAAAGCAGAGGTCTGTCTACCAGATGTTGAAGTCCAAGGACCTTTGGGGTCTATTTCAATGGAAGCGCCACCTGCTGCAGAACTTGATGCAAACTTGAAAAAGACAAAATTTTCACTTCCCAAATTTTCGTTTTCAAAATCAGGTGTTAAAGAACCTGATGTCAGTACTGAACTTCCAAATGTTGATGTTTCTCTTCCGGAAGTAAATGTGGAAGTTAAAAAAACAGATGTGGAACTTAAGCCACCAGAGGGTGATGTAGAATTACATCTGCAAGAAAGCAAGTTTAAGATGCCAAAGTTTGGCATCTCAATACCTAAAGTGAAAGGGCCTGAAATTGATTTAAGCTTATCAAAGAAAGGTGTTGATGTCACACTCCCAGAAGCCGAAGTTGAAGTTCAACATACAGATGTTAAAATAAAACAACCGTCTGCTAAAGGGGAAATTAAAGCTCCTGAAATTGAAGCTCAAGCAGGTATTGTTGAAGGATCACCCTCAAAACTTAAAATGCCAACATTCACATTACCCAAATTTGGAGCAGCTACTCCAAAGGTCAGTGTGGAAGTACCTAATATGGACAAAGATATCAAAATTGATGGAGCAACGCTGGCAGTAGCAAAAGAGGGAGCAAAAGTGGATGTCGCAGCACCCAGCATTGACACTGAAGGCCTGTCTGTAGATGTAAAAGCTAAAGGAGGTGAACTTGAGGGAGCAGGAAGCAAATTTAAAATGCCAAGTTTTGGCATCTCAATGCCCAAAGTTAAAGGACCTGAAATTGATTTAAGTTTATCAAAGAGGGATACAGATATCAAATTACCAAAGGCCAAAACTGAAGTCAAACTCCCTGATGTTGAACTGAAAGAACCTTCTGCTGAAGTGGAAATCAAAGCTCCTGAGTTCAAGGTTGTGACAAAGGATACAGGAGGATCACCATCAAAATTTAAGATGCCAACATTCAAATTACCAAAATTTGGGTCTCCTAGTGCGACTGTAGAAATGCCTGATGCGGACAAAGGCATCAAAATCGATGGAGCTGACATTAAAATTCCTGAAGAGGTTCTCACAGTTGAAATTGCAGCACCCAGCATTGACACTGAAGGCCCATCAATAGATATGAAAACTACAGGAACTGAACATGAAGGAAAAGGAAGCAAGTTTAAAATGCCAAGTCTCGGTTTTTCTGTGCATAAAGTCAAACAGCCTGACACTGATTTAAGCTTATCAAAGAAAGATGTAGATGTGACACTACCAGAAGCCAAAGCTGATGTTAAACTCCCTGATGTTGAACTAAAAGAATCTTCAGCCAAAGTGGAAATGAAAGCTCCTGAAATTGATGTTCAGGCAGGTCATGTTGAAGGATCACCATCAAAATTTAAAATGCCAACATTCAAATTACCCAAATTTGGAGCTGCTACTTCACAGGTCAGTGTAGAAGTACCTGATTCGGACAAAGACATTACAGTTACAGTGGATGGAGCAGACTTAAAATTACCACAAACAAAAGCTGAAGTCAAACTTCCTGATGTTGAAGTCAAAGAGCCTGTGGGTTCAATTTTATTATCACCAGTGACAGAGGGTGATGCCAAGTTGAAAAAGCCAAGGTTTTCATTACCCAAATTTTCATTTTCAAAGCAAAGTACAAAAGAAACTGGAGTTGATGTCAGTCTCCCAGGCGTTGATGTTTCTCTTCCAGAAGTAAATGTGGAAGTCAAACAACCAGAGGTGGAGCTTAAGCCACCAGAAGGTGATGTAGAATTAGATGGACAGGGAAGCAAGTTTAAAATGCCAAAGTTTGGCATCTCAATACCAAAAGTGAAAGGGCCTGAAATTGATTTGAGCTTATCAAAGAAAGATGTTGATGTCACACTCCCAGAAGTCAAAGCTGAAATTAAACCTCTGGATGTTAAAATTAAACAACCGTCTGCCAAAGTGGAAATTAAAGCTCCTGAGATTGAAGCTCCAAAAGGTAATGTTGAAGGATCACCATCAAAACTCAAAATGCCAACATTCACATTACCCAAATTTGGAGCAGCCACTCCAAAGGTCAGTGTGGAAGTGCCTGATGTAGACAAAGACATTAAAATTGATGGAACAAAGCCCGAAGCACCTACAGTGGGAGCTAAAGTGGATGTCACAGTACCCAGCATTGACACTGAAGGCATGTCGGTAGATGTAAAAGCTAAAGGAAGTGAAATTGAAGGATCAGGAAGCAAATTTAAAATGCCAAAGTTTGGCATCTCAATGCCCAAAGTTAAAGGACCTGAAATCGATTTGAGCATGTCGAAGAAAGATGTTGATGTCACACTCCCAGAAGCCAAAGCTGAAATTAAAGCTCCGGAGATAGAAGCTCAAACAGGTTATGTTGAAGGATCACCATCAAAACTTAAAATGCCAACATTCACATTACCCAAATTTGGAACAGCTACTCCAAAGGTCAGTGTGGAAGTACCTGATGTAGACAAAGACATTAAGATTGATGGAGAAAAGATGGAAGTAACTAAAGCAGGGGCTACAGTGGTTGTCACAGCACCCAGCATTGACACTGAAGGCCTGTCTGTAGATGTGAAAGCTAAAGGAGGTGAACTTGAGGGAGCAGGAAGCAAATTTAAAATGCCAAGTTTTGGCATCTCCATGCCCAAAGTTAAAGGACCTGAAATTGATTTAAGTTTAACAAAGAAGGATGTAGACATCACATTACCAGAAGTTAAAGCTGAGGTAAAACTGCCAGATGTTGAAGTCAAAGAACCTGAAGTTGCCATTTCAGTACCAGATGCACCTGCAGTTGAGGCTGAAGCCAAGATGAAACGACCAAACTGGACATTTCCCAAATTTTCATTTTCAAGGACAGGTGGTAAAAGCCCTGATGTCGATGTCAACCTTGAAACACCCAAAGTTGATGTTACATCACCCGAGGTCAAAGCAGAAGTCTGCCTACCAGATATTGAAGTCCAAGGACCGTCTGGGTCAATGGAAGAGCCACCTGCTGCAGAACTTGATGCAAACTTGAAAAAGACTAAATTTTCGCTTCCCAAATTTTCTTTTTCAAAGTCAGGTGTTAAAGAACCTGAATTCAGTACCGAGCTCCCACATGTTGACGTTTCTCTTCCAGAGGGAGAAGTGAAAGTCAAACAACCTGAAATGGAAATTAAAGCTCCTGAGCTTGATGCTGAACATGATGGGCAAGGAAGCAAGTTTAAATTGCCAAAGTTTGGCATCACACTACCAAAAGCAAAAGGTCCTGAAGGAGATTTATCACAGAAAGATGTAGACATCACACTGCCAGAAATCAAAGCAGAGGTAAAAGTCCCTGAAGCTGGAGTCAAATCTTCAGCTAGTGTTGAAATTAAAGCTGGAGAGACTGAAACTAAGTCAAAAGATGTTGGAGGATCACCATCAAAATTTAAAAAACCAACAATTAAAATGCCGAAAATTGGAGGTGCTACTCATGATGTCACAGTAGAAGCACCTGAACTTAAGGAGGATGTTTCTGTCAACATCAAAGGTCTAACTGTTGATATTAAAACTGATGTGTCCAAAGCAGCTACAACAGATACTGAAACACCAAAGACTGAGACTGACACTGCGAGTCTTGGCTCTCCAAGTAAATTCAAACTACCATCATTTAAAATGCCAAAGCTGAGTTTCTCAAGATCCAAACCTGAAGATGGATATTCACCTGTTGAAACTGAATACAAAGATGATAAGCTGGAAATGGAAGTTGAGCCAAAAGGAGAGATTAAATCACCAAAAATGTCTCTGACATCATTTGGTGAGATTCTCAAGAATATTGACGTTGAATTTGACGTTTCAAAAAATCTTGAAACCTCAAAGGAAGTTCATGAAAGAGATGAACCCAGTGAAAAGCAATTAGAGGCAAAGGAAAAGGAAACAAATACCAAGCAAGATACTACCAAAAGTCCTGAGAAGACAGGTTGGTTTAAATTCCCCAAGTTTGGACTGTCTTCCCCAACAGAACCTGCCAAGATATCTGAAAAAGACCGGCACAAGGATGAGAAGAGCCCTGTAGCGGAATCGGTGGATGAGGAAATAAGCCCCACCTGTTCTGTCCAGTCGTCAGATGCCTTTGCTGATATTAGCTCTGCAATGACAAGTGAGCATCTTGGCCTGTCCTTATCTTCTCCAACCAAGGTAACTGTCAAATACTCTGACCCTAACACTGCTACAGGGCTTGGAGAGATGCACAGTAACATCATTACTTCCACCACAAGGAGTGAGCTGATCTCGGTTGAACCCAACTTGCCTGAGAAAATCACCATTCTGTCATCTGGAGTTTCATCTTCATCGGAAGACACGCTCAGACTGGAATCTGGAAAAATACACGTCATTACATCAAATATACAAGCAACCCCAGAATCGCTGCATGCAAAGCTACTAACTGCTGTCCAAGTCCAACCAGCTGGAGGCCTTCCCCTACAATCAGAGGCTAACGAATCGGCATCGTGGACCGTCGAAGACTCACAAGGCAGCAAGAGAACAGTCATTGAGAGGCATGTAGTTAGGGAAACATCAAGTGAAAGAAGTGAAGGCAAAGAAACAATTGTCATAACTAAACAAATTACACATAGGTTTGACTCTTCTGAGCCCATCTCAGGCGACACAGCGTCATCCATTCAACGACTGAGAGACTCTGTGCACTCTGAGAAAATGAAGTTCTTTGATGGAGCTAAAAAGTGAAATAACTTGATGTAAATTATGTCTAAAGATACAATCCCTCAGTGGCCTGTGGGTTCCCAATTTCACTGTGCATAATTTGTGTGATAGACAATAGGTTAGCAACTGGAAAAGATCATTAGCGAGTATAACTTACCAATCAGAGAGGGTTTGAGAGAGCTGGTTTTAACAGGTGCTAACTTCAATCCCTGGTTGCATGTTGTTGACCTGTAAAAAGATGGTTTAATGTATTTCACACTGTGATTAAGTTATTAATAAGCTATGTAACTGAGTGCCCTTAATACAACTTGTGACAGGGCGTCACCAAATATCTTTTGCTTATTATGGTGCAGAACTACATTAAGCCATGATGTGTTTTGCTTATCAAAAACTTATAAAGAAAATCTTTGTTGTTTGATAGTTTTTAATGCACAAGACTGATCCAACTCACTTGTGCTCTTAATTGCCGGATGATAATCACCAGTACATTTGATTTAAAAAAAAAAAGGACTGTTGCAAAAATCTATCAATGTTACTGACATTCCAAAATATGTTTACAATAATTTCACTGTAAAGTTGACAATAGAGAACATCTACAATTACACTAGTGCAGTATATGATGGAATATATGTACATGTATCACTAAGATATTCTTATTGCTGTGAGCTAAAATGTAAAGAAATGGTAGCAATGCAAAGCTTATGATCACACACAGCGAGTGTACTGCTGCAACTATATTTTTTATTGATATTTTGCTTAAAACCTAATTTGCTGCAGTAAAAATATATCAATAGTATGTTTCAATATTATTGTACAAAGTGGGAATATTAAAGTGGCTGTGTAAATAGCTTTTAATGATCACTGCTCCTCTTTCAAATCTGACTCAACCTGTTTGCAAAGTTATATACAATAAATAAATATTATTATATGCAAAACCTGTGGCTAAAGCTGATGACTTATGTTCTGTAATCCAGGTTCAACCCTGATGATTTTCCTGTTTATTCTGTTTTATTTGATTTACTGAAATAGGTCACCAATTTAAATGAACACACCTTTTTAATGCTCTCAGATTTGGTCAAAGTGGGCTGAGTAAGTATCGGAAAATTCTGTCTCACATATAAAATGAATATTATTCTGTAGTACCAGAAAAAAAAAGCTAAACTCAGAAGACTTTTCTTTAAGAAATAACTAACTTACACAATGTCATGGGAAGCATTTATATATATATATGTATTTGCACACTAGAGGGAGACACAGCTCACAAATATATATTTACTATCACTGTGTTCTTATGATAAAATAAACGGTTAGATAAAGTGAACAACCCGTATAACACACAGTGAAACCTCTTTAAGCTATATATAATATCTAAATCTAGCTATAATGACAAAAAGGAGCATTTCTCCTTGATATGGAGCTTTAATGCTGTTTAATATTTACAGAACCTTTCATTAACTTTACTCAAATGTTATAACATGAAATAAATAAACCCTACAGAAAAAGTTTTAGCGGTTTAAAGTGGGACAAGTTACCTGATGAATCCAGCAAACAATATTAGCAAATATAAAATCATCAACGGCTGTTCGTTCACTACTAATGAGGAGCTGCCTTTAAGTGCTCCTCGTAAATTTGAATTTCGAGGATAACACATTGAACGGCCGTACATAAAAGTCCTCTGATGGGTTGCATAGATGTATAAAGGTGAATAAATTCAGAGCTTAATCACACAGTTAGCATAATTTGGCTTTGTAATACCATAGTGCATCTGATATAGGCATATTGTAGATGAGCTTTCCTTCTAGTTAAAGGCAAACTTGTGATCAAAACACAATAATAAAACCTGCTCACACTCCCAAAATAAATAAATAAATAAAATTAAATAGGCTATTATAGAGAGGTTGTTTGCAAAATAGCTTTTCTGTGAAAAAAAAATCTAATTTTTGAACAAGCCTAATGGAAGTACTCCGTAAATAAACAGCCCAACTGATAATTAACCCAATAAATTCCTTGACCTGAGCCTAGAAACCATAACAAAACCTTACAGGTAACACAGTAATACATGCAATAATTATCCTATAAGTCATTTACACTTAACAGAAGCCTCAATTAAGAATAGATCACATTTATTTAAAATGGTTATAGGCTCTAATCTGAAGTCTCCTTTATACAATACATGCAGAAAGTATGTGGACCCTGGAAAATTACACCCATATGTAATCATGTTCTAACAATTAAACTGGAATCTACGGCACATGAGAGGCACAAACTTGGGCTAATATAAATATCACAGTATGCTGTAGCATTAAAATACTAACCACCAAAAGTGCACAAAGGTATAAATGGGGTGCCCACATACTTTTTTTTAAAGCTCTTCAGTCAGCTATCTCGTAATCCCGACACTCCCTGAACGCAGCACCGGTCCCGCTCCACTGCGCAGACTCTGAACACTTCAATGCGAGCGGCAACTTCACCGGGAGCCTCGCGCGCCCCGCCGCCTGTCGCCCACAACAGCCCGCATCATCATCACCATCATCATCATCACCATCATCATCCTCCTCATCATCAGCATCAGCAGCATCAGTGTGATGAAGCAGCGGAGGACGGAGACCTTCCTGCTCTGAGACACTGGATCAGCGCGCAGACAGGTACGGAGCGTTTATCCGCCTTTTTTAACCACTCTGGAAACAACCAGACATCTTCATCTTCATCTCAAACACTCATTTAAAAGCTGCTTTTATTCTTTTTATTCCCTTTTTTTTGCTTCTTTATAAAAGTAACTGATCAGTTAAAGAATTTAAACTGGACCTTTTGAGGGTTTTTTATTTATATTAAAAAAAAAAAAAAAAACCTGCTTCACCTTGTGGATTTTGTGCACTGGTGATGCTCAGTGTGTGGGATTGTGGGCAGAAAGGCACTGATCAGCCTGTGTTATAAGTGTAGGTGTAGCAGAAGCTGTGTTTTATACACCGGTATTTAAATCTATTAATAGTTCCTGTTACCTGCAGTAAAACCGGCTACCTGTTGTGTAAAGCAGGTAAAAGCTCCAAACCTGCACAGCTCAGACATTTAGTATTTATATTGTGACTGAATCAGGATGCATTAAAACTTAAGTTTCTGTGCATCTGAGTCACAAAAATAGAACAGGAAATGTGAATTAGGGCAACAAAAAACACAGGAGAAATGAAATTAAAGCAGCAGAAATAGAGCAGTGGGCTGTTTGGTAAGTAAAGAAGAATCTCTCTATATTTGGCCATGGATTAAATTCTCTTTTTTTATATCCTTGGGCTGTAAAAACTTACTGGATTTATCTGAGGAAGGTTGCTGCTGCTGCTGCTGGCTCTGGTTTAGTAGCAGAAATTGGGGAAAAAAAATAAAAATGTTTGAAGTGCAGCCAGAGCGACAAGAGGAGAGAGAGACTCAACATCCCATCAATGTATCTGCACGAATGAAATAGTGGAATTAAACCGTCGCCCCTTTAACTGGACCGTCTCCACCGTGATGAATCTCACGATGGACAGAAGAGAGGAGGAATTTTAATCCGCGAGGTCACACCAGATGCACATCTTTTTATCCGAGAGGCAAACAGTGAGGATGGAGGATGAGACGGTGGCTGCGAGATGAATTGTTTTCTGGCGATGTGGGTGTGTTTCAAGTGGAAATAAGATTTATTTTATTTTCAAAAACTAGTAGCTGCAAGCATCTGGCTTCGAGCTCATGTCTGCGATTCAACATCAGCAGCACGTCGAGGTTCTCCTGTGGGCTGCAACTCATTAACAATTAATCTGCCAATCATTTATTAGTCTATAAAATCAGACAAGTAGAGACAAGTGCCAGTTAAAATGTCCTGAAATTCAACATGATGTCCTCGGATGTTTCGTTTAATCTGAGCAGGATTTCAAAACCCTAAAATATTGAGATTATTATCAATAAGACAAAGCAAAAATCAATGTTTTATCTATTAATTGACTAATTGTTTCAGTTCTACTTGACAGATTATAGTGTTTTTGGAAAATATAGACATCTGAAAAATAATGTTAAAACAATTATTTGATTGGCTGACATACACGAATCCACATGGAAGCCGCTGATGACAGTTTTGATACTTGATTAATTCTTGGAGATTGTTTAACGAGTAAATAACTCCAAACGTTTGCTGGTTGCAGCTTGTAACAATGTGAAGAATACACTTTTTTTTTGACAGTGAATAACACAGATAAGTGAATTTTTAAGACACTGGGTTGAATTCTTGCAGTGGGGGAACAGTTCAGTACTTAAACATATAATCTGAAACATTTCCTCATTAAAACAGTGTATAAACTTTAGCTCTATGTTCTATATATGTTGAGTTAAGTTCTTAAATTATCCCAAATGTTTCCAACAATGTTCAAACTCAGAGAAATCTGTCATTTTATTCAGGTAACGCTGCGTTTCACCGGTCGCCTGTCGATGGCGTCATATCCCCTTTGTGCCTGCGTCAGCGTTGTGGTTGTCTGCCAGAAGCTGTCATACATCATTGTTTCTTACTTGCCTCTAGTTTCTATAACTTCTGGGTAACACAACGTAACTTAAATAAAACTAATCTAATACATATACCTCGTTTATGAACATGATTTCTGCCTCAGTAACATCAGACAGATTTTTATGAGCAATGGCGGCTGTTTAACAACGAAGACAATGACTCTCATAGTCATCAAGCTATGGCTTTTCTTATTGTTTTGATGTCAGAGACCCCTGATTACAATTTTGAGGTTCGTTTAGTTAAACATCCAAAATCCATGGAACAAACTCGCAGCGATCTTTTTGGTGTTCAAATGTTTTCTGGAGCCGCGAGCAGAATTCTCACGAAAGCCCAGCGCAAACATTTCTTGTTGTTGAGGTTAATTTATACACACACAGAAATGTAAATTGTGCATGCAACCAAGACTTTCTACGTCTTCTTTTAATTGGTGAGAAGATGAATTTTGATTCAAATAAAATAAATTCGACTTTATTTGAACTGTTACTTATGGGCTGTGGCCAAAGTCGTCATGTTACGATACGCAGCATCTCAAAAAAAGCTGACCACCTACCTGAGACACTTCCCCATCAACCTGTAACATTAAACAAGGAAAAACTAAATGTGTCAATACAAGACCTACCAGTAAAATATTGTCCTGGAAAATGATTTCTTAAAAAGAGTGTGACAGTGCTAACCACTGAGCCACCGAGCTGCCATACAAATGCAAATATAACATACAAAACATCTGATCATCTTATAAAATATGATGCTTTACTATAGATTGCAGATGGTTTGTGACCTTGAGGAAAGGGAGAAATGACGAATGTAAACATAACTTTTGTTTATTTACATGAAAAGTGCGAAGGGCATCTTTAGTATTTGTAGTTCGCAGCTCAGAAATCTGTTTCTGAGCTTCAATTTCAGTTCACGTGTTGAAAACAATTAATTTCCATAATTAATTAAGGAATAACAATCTTCACTTTAACATTCCAAAAAAACATAAAATCTGAGTTTTTAATGCCCAAGAATTTTACCCTCTGCTCAATTTAACTCACCTATAATGGAAATATTACAAGATGCCATCATTTGAACCACCAGTTGAAACACTTCAACCGGTTAATAATGTAAAAGTGTCTTTAACATTTCATTCCTCTGTTGAGGCAGAAGTGAGGCGGCCCTCCTGCAGAGTAAACATGCAGACGTTAACACATGGATGTTCAGACCTAATGGCTCAAATTATTATTCAGCTGGAGAGGAAAGCATGACAGAAGCGTCACGCCTGGCATCAACATTTAAATTCTTGTGTCTGTTACGCTTCACATCACCACAGAATGAATGCACTTCTGAGAAACAAGATCAGACTGGAATCATGTGCACAGTTGCTACCTTTTTTTTTCAAAGCCGGACATGAGACCGGCTGGAGTGCTCGCACAGATT